GCCACGTTACTGTGACTCACCGCCTGCATTATCCTTTACCTACAATTTGTTGTTTATGAATTTATAGAATAGGCCTGGTTCTGTTTTACATTTGTCTGCAATCCCTTTTTCAAAATTTCTTTCTGCCTCTCTCCTCACTGCCGTGCAGTTGTTTCTCGAATCTTTGGATCGCTGATATGGTTGGTGGTTTGGCCTCTTCCTATATTGATTCCATTTTTGTGACTTTTGGTCACTGGCCCTCTCGCAATTTCTGTTGAACTAATCCTGTTTCCTGGTGCTGCATCTCTGCTTTGCTATAAATTTTTTTGTGCTTTTATCATATATTTCACAAAACTTGACATACATCTCATTTACTTCCTTGTCTAGCAACAAGTCTGTCCAATTATACCCACTAAAAAATTGTCTAAGGTCGCCATAATGTCCTCTCCTGAAGTCAGGTTTTTCAACTGCTTCAACCTCCTTATTTTCTTCCAGATTATAACGTATTGCATACTTTATTCCCAAAAAGACATGGTCACTTTTACCCAAGGGAGGAAGGTACTGAATGTCAAATATCTCTTCCTCTTTCCTGGTAAATTTCAAATCTAGCATCTAGCAAATCTAGCCGACTATCAACAGTCGTGATCTATCTTTATTCCCTCTTGCTATAATCTCTCTCATTATTGTTATAAGACCCTCTCATTTACTATCTAGCTCCTCCTTTGTCCATGTGTTGCTTGGAGGTGGACTATATGCATTTATGATCATTAGTTTATCATCCTCATGGCAGATCTCTATTGCTATTATGTCAACTTCTCGTGGACTGGCAATCATTATTTCATTTACCTTTAGGTGTTCTTTCACCAGCACAGCAATGCCACTGCCTTTCCTAATTTTTCTGTCCCATCTCCAAACTGAGTAACCTCCTTGGGAATATGACATAATTTAAAATAACATTTTCAAGTTTTGTCTCCGTAAGTGCAACAATGTCTGGTGTCTGCAGCTGTATTATATCGCTTAACTCCAGTATCTTCGATCTCACTCCATCTACATTGGTGCATACAATTTTCAGGAACATGTTCCCCTTCTCCTTATTCTTCACTACTCTCTCTAGCAATTTTGTTGTTTGCCTTTTTGTACCATTTTACTGGCCTGCCTACCCCTATTACTTTGTAGAAAATTGATTGATTTTTTCTTCGTTTCTGCTCTCATTTAGACGTTTTGCCTTTACGAGGTTTAGTTTCAGCTTCTCTCTGACTTCTCTTGAAAGATCTCGTCTTAAAGATCTCACTTTCCCATCCTCATCACTTTGTAATTTTCTAGCATTCCTTAGTACTTCTTCCATCTTTTTGGCACCGTTTAGGATGATCCTCAGAGGTCAATCTTTCCCTTTTACGTACTTGCCTATTCTCCTGTAGTCGCACACATTCTCTATGGTAGTAAGACCTTCCACGAGGCCAACAGTTTTATCAACTACTTTCGCTTCTTCTACAGCTCTTTCTGACCTAGATGTTATCTCCATTTGTTTGTAACCAAAAATTATCTGGGACTTACTTTGATCATCTGTGTTTTGTACCAACTTTGGGTCAGATGCCAATTCCTTTCTCACTTCCAGCCTAATGTTTGTTTTATCCTGGTTGCTGCAGTGTTTGGCTTCCTTTATTGCTTCTTCAATTTTTTCCTTCTTCTTGGCCACTTGTGCATAGCTGAGTTGCATATCTTTCTTACACTGTTCTATTCCCTGTGTAACTTCCTCCATCTGTATTGACAAAAGCCGTTTCTTCTGTTAGATTTCCTACCTAACCTATTGTAGTCATTTATGTTTAAATTTGCTTTAAGTTCTTCCAAAGCTATTTTTAGAGTTTATTTTCCTCTTCCATGGCTTTGCAATTTGTTTCCAATTGATTCTTGTCCTTGCACAAGTCTTTCACTAAACCCTCAAGACATAAAACTTTGCTACTCAAATGGTCATTACTTTCTTTCAATTTACTGATTATTTCTACCATGAGAGTTCACTATAATATCTAATTTTGCCAACTTGTTTTGTACACTGCTTATATCAACGCTTTCTTCATTGAATCCCCAAAAATCAAGCTCTGTTTTGTTTTTCTTCTTGCCGGTGGCCATCTTGAATGTTGTTGTCTGTACTGTAAATGCTAGGGCAACTTTTTTCTCATCCAATTTTTTCACTTCCCTTAGCACATTCATGTTATCTCATCTATTTTTCAAAAACACTATACATTTATGCCCCTTGGGACACCACTCACTATCATCAACCTGTACTACAATACTTAGGATTGTTGAAATATGCTGGAGCTCCTCTGATGCAGTTGTTGACACTAGGGGTGTCACCTTTTGAATTTTTGTGTGTGTGTTTGTGTGTGTGTGTGTGTACAGTATGTGTGTGTGTAGACCAGAATTCTTCTAACATGGTGGTTTGTGGTGGATGGGTGTGGTGGCAGCACAGTCTACTTATACCCGAGTACAGCAACATCTAACTTCAGGAGGTTTGCCGGGCCAAGCTATATCCCTATCATTCCCTTCAGGATATCAGTAAATAACAATACCAAGTAACTCGATGAAAATTAATAGTTTACAAAAAATATCTTGATTTAGATTGACATTATGTCAACAGGTCAAGGGAATCGAGTCACCAGAGCCTCAGGAATTTTGTACAAAATGAGGACATCTAGTGGTGACTTGGGACAGTGTAGGAAGCAAAAACAAGGAATAGTATGATGTACCTTGGCCCTGGGCATGATCCCCCACAACAATAATCTACCACTACTGAGGAAGGTCTTCTCTATACACTAACAGTGTTTTGGGTCGCTGATCCACAAGCACCTGGGGTGGGCAGGTCCTCTCCACACCAAGTGATTGTTGACGCTTACCTTGCTCTAGCTCTAGCAACTCCTAAATCTATCTGGATTGTTCCTTGATCTAGCAAGGCATTATACTCGGGTACAGTCTACTTTACCCCGGGCAGGAGTCTACCTATACCCGGGCACTTGGCATCCCTCACCATGGACGTGGCATCGGTGCCTAGTCTGTCTGTCAGGCAGGTCACTTGGACTGAGTCAAATAACTGGTTCATTTGGAAGCAAAGCATTCATTAATGTAGAATACTTAAGTGGGTAAAAAATGTGTATATCTCGCAAAATACTTCATGATTGCACTAATCGTAGTGAAGGAACTTTTGAGTCGCAATGACTTATAGTTTAAAATGAGCAATGTTATTGTTATTATGTCGAATATGATTAGTCGTTTATGCATCATATTTCGCTCTGAGTCTTAATTCCCACGACCTGTAGGTTAAGTCGAGGGGCTAAGGTGGGTGTGAGGCGGGTTAAACGGGTGGTGGGCGTGGGTGGTGGCGCAGGTGGGGGGTGACCAGGCTGGCGGGGGCGGACTCGCTGCCCGGGCGGCTGCTGATGACGGCGGACTGGAGGTGGCAGGGTCGGGCGGCCTTCCTCCACGCTCACTCAGGCACACACCTGGCCCTCTCCTGCCACATGCAGGTGAGTCTTATCACCTCTCTCAACACCTTGCTCCTTACTCATATGGAAAAACAAGGCAGGGTTACACTTAACTTTTCTATACCAGATTTGAGTACTGTACTAACATTTTTTTTTTTAATTTTGAAACCGTGCCACGGAGACTGGTGCGGCCCGACCCGCCACCTCGAAGGGTATTACAGAATGCTACTCACCTGGCGAAGTTTCTCACAATCGTCCTCTCGTTGACGTAGTATTTCCCTCACACGGTCCATCTCATTCTGGGTGTCGACTAGTCGCGCCCGCATTTGTTCCAACTCTACTGACCCTTCCTCATCTATATTTTTATCACCTATAACAACATGCAACAGCGCCATCAATGAAGTGACAGATGCCAGGCGCTACAGCCGACACATTGAACATGGCCATACGTTGTCACTAGACTACTGGTGGGGGAGACGCCAGGCCGGGAAACCTCACCCTCCTGACTCTTGGGGGGTGGGGATGTTCAAAGTGAGGAGAAGGTGAGGAGAGGTTGGTAGAGAAGTCTTCAAAGATTGCAAGAACATCTACTGATTTGAGGGTTGATACAAACCAATTACAAGTCCGTAAACATCAATATGTTACACAGAGTCCAATCCTACCCAAGGTCTGTCTGGGGCATAATGCCATGAGTTAACAGTAACCCCGCAAAAGTCATTCATTACTGGGGTCAAGGATGCTTCGTTCAGCCTGCTTTCCATGCCCGTCCTTAGACTACAGCCTGTGTCCCACAACTCTTCTCTACATTTCATCAACCTTGCTTATAATGATTACAATCAAGTTACTCATCACTTATTGAAATCTTTCTTGATTATTTGCAAATGAAACTTATTTTGAGCAAACTTTAGTCTTTCACTCTGATCAGTATGCATCCTCTTGGAGGGCTAAATATTACACATGCTTCTAAGAAGAGTGTGGGATGTGAACATCTGACAGGCTGATGAGAGGGACACAGCTGGGACCAGGAGGTGGCCGTGGCGGTGGATCAGAGGATGTGGAATTGTGAGAAAAGCTACAGAACTGTGATAATATAATTTTGTTGCTGGTGCTCAAGTGATTATGTGGAAGCATTTATTATTTACAATTGAACAAATACAGGTATGAACTCTTGACCATGTCTAAAGTTGAAAATATATAGCACTGAGACTAAAGTGAAGAGGATGAGATAAGAGCTGGGAGCTGGAGAGGCAACAGGTGGCCACCTACAGCCCTCAGCCAACAACAATGCACATTGTCAAGAATTTACCCTACGCTTCAAGTCCCGAACAGCAAGATCAATTTAAAGTTATGTGCAGTAAGTTGGACTGTTGCGAAGATATTTACTCTCTGCACCATCAGTTCTGTGCCAGCAGCGACTTGGGTTTTATATCTCCTTGAGGGTTCAACAACATCCCCCAACCACCGTGACGGCCATACTGTATCGGACATAATTATGATAATAATAAAAATAAACATATAATAAATACAAGACCAGAGAAGCTGCACCTGTTTCTGAAATACTGCCTGCATCTGTTGCATCATCGCCCGCTCCTCCTCCTTGCCTGAAACACAGTTCGAGATTGGTCACCCAGTCACAACATAAAATGATGTCACAGGAGGAGGTTGGCCTACCCGGGTTCTGCTAACAATGACGTCTAGGAGGGTTACATCTTATTAGGGTTCCGTTAACATTGACGTCATTAACCAATTGATAATCGATTCCAGAAAACGGTGAAGAGTATCAATATCTCCACTGGGTGACAGCAGGATGCTCAAATACTTTGGGAAGGACCAGAGATGGGAAAGGGAGAAGAACGAAGGGAAGGGAGGGTAAGAATTGGGGGACGGAGAAATGATGGAAGTAACTATCACCAATTAAACAGATGGTAAATAAAAATGGTAAAAATTAAAACACATCAATTCAAATCAAATTATATATGTTGCAACTAATTTATACAGCCAATAACTATAATTAATTTGGAGAAAGAGAGCAAGTTCGCCAATCGATGATAGTACTGTATGCTGAAAATATACGAGTGATTTGCATGTGAAAACGCATTAAATATTTGTAGCAAGAATACTAGTGAGAAATACTACAGAAGATACCACCTACCTGATGACCATTACTCCACCACACTGACAATGAAGATGCATAAACATGTGGTTCCTGTAGTTAAGTCAAATTTACCTGACAACCTATTAATTTAAAAGTATCAAATATGATACAAAATTATTAACCTAATCATTATGATACAAAATGATTCAAGGAATATAGCATATAAACCAAAAGAAATATACAATAGATTAGTATGAAAAAATATTGAGGCAATGTATTGAGATAGAGCTTGCGTTCCTAGGCCAGAACTCGTCAAGCATTTACCCAATAACTTATGAAACCTGAACATCTTTTCTCAATCATATCAGCTTTGTTTCTTTTGTTAAAAACTTTATGACTTGAACATTTCACATCTCAAGGTTATTTTCAACGACCTCATAGTGCTTTGCGGCTCATAAAATCTTTAATAAATGTAAACAATGCTGCCATTATCTACAAAAGATGCACGTGTTTCGTAAGTGGTTGCAGAAATGCTTGATGAATCCTGGCCCAGGTCCAGTCCTCCCCAACTACAGGCACTAAGTGAACCCGGGGAATCCAGGATTGAGAGTTCTATCCCACCAAATTGCTTCAATATTTTCTCATTGATAAGCAACGTTATTGTAATTTCATTGTCCAAGAGATGAACATGTTTTAGAATTATATAATTTACTCACTGTACATACAAGAACAAGATGGGATTTGGCACACTTCCCACAAGGAGTGAATACAAGATTTAATATTCACAAAAAAACAGTACTGAATGTAATTTAACACCATTTTCTGGGTGAGACCCGGAGGCTCCCAAGAGCTATACCGGGCTGATGTGTATATATTAGACCGTGGCAACAGTCAATCAAAGAAGTTCTAAGCCTACCGAGGACCAGAGCCAGAACCTGGCCCCCCTCAAGAGAAGCTTGAGGGGGCCAGGAGGAGCAATAGCCTAAAGACACCCCTGTGTAATTGGAAGCAGTCTTTGTCTGCCATCTACCAGGTCAGGCACCCAGAAAGGTAGGAATTTAAAAACAAACTACAGTACTGCTGGCCAAAAAATTGCAAACCGAAAGCCAAAAAAGCAAACAGAACTCCCAATCAAAAACCAGGAAACAAACATGACGTCACCACAACCGCCGCGCATCCATCTGTGCAACCTCTAACTGCAATCTGTGTCCCAGACCTCCATGCCAGCAAATCTCCCCAGTTCAGAGGGCCGAGTATCAAAAACGCGAAAAACCGCCGACCGTAAGGAGGGAGGGTTGCCGGGGAGCCTCCGGATCTCACCCAGAAAATAGTGTTTCATTACATTCATCGCTGGTTTTCTGTGGAGAGCCCCTTTGGCTCTCCGGAGCTACCTAACCAAAGATAAGGAAAACGGGACTCACCCGGGAGGTGGTCGTCACTCGCTCCTCAACTCAAAGTCGAGACAACTGGTCGCAACCTGCGACCCAAGACTATATACGCCCAAGAAGAACATTAACAAGGTAACATGCAGCCTGGACCCTGATCAACCTCCAAAAGCCCTGTTCCCGAAGATTGGCCAGGACCCTGATCAACCTCCAAAAACCCTGTGCCCGAAGATTGGCCAGGACATATTACCAAAACAGCAACTGAACACTGAACTTACGAAAGGCGTGGGCACGGGGATAGACCGCAGGCTGGCAGGACCGAATAATCCTGCAACAACCCGAGAGAAAGGAAACAGGGTCAACCCAAAGCGCGTCCTCTGCCACAGAGGCCGTGGTGCACAAATAACGTTGAAGAGCCACAGACAAAACATGATGCACCCTCGGCCGAACCAACCAAGCATCAACAACCCAAGGACCCCTTTGGAAAGCAGCAGACTCGTTCTTCGCCAGAAAAGAAGAAGGCTGCAAAAGAACGAAATTACCAAGACCGAAAGAGTAGAAACCCCTGCTCCGGAGGAGAGCATGAAGCTCCCGACCCAACCCCTAGAGGCCAATGCCAACAAGAAAAGAGCCTTAGAAAAACAGTCCTGAACCGAGTGTGGCCACCACAAACCAAGGAGATGTGAGAAAAGAGAGCACATGGTCTAAAGATCAGGATGGTTCAGGCGGCGCATGAGCAGGCCGTAGGTGAAATAATGCCTGAGAAAACTAGCGGAATGGAGCATAAGTGACATCCACCCCGAATGCAAGCTGCAGCGGCTCCGCCGGCACTGCACGATATGAGGCGACAGTATTTGGCATAAGATCTTGAAGCAACCAAGAGAGAAAGGACAAACAATCCGATCAGAAATCAAAGACAACCTACGAAGAGACAAATATGCCGAAAGGACTGCCAGGAATTTCATACTGCTGTCTAGACAAAACTCACAGGTGGGATACCATCAACGAAGCCACCTGATCACCGTACAAGTGGTGATACACCCGCGTCAAAAACTACAGGACTACTCTCTCCTGGTAAGTCTCCAACTGAGCCAGGATCTGGAGCAACAACCGGACCGGAGGGAAGAGGTACAGGTAACTCCACCTCGACCAGGTGAGGTCCCATCGAATCGTGGGACCAGGTGAGAGCAAACAGCGCGAGCCTCCCCCCAATCGCCCTGTCAATGGGGCAACCCGTGAAAGGCCCGACAACCCCTACGAGAGCCCAACCGACGCTGAGAGTGATCACTGCGCCGACCAGATGCCGACAGCTCCAGAGGAGGTGCCAGCCCCGAATCTAGCACTACTGGCTTACGACGACCGAAGGAACCCCAAGATCTAGCACGACCCTTCCGGCAGGACCTCCATGGCCCCCCTGGAGAACCTACAAGTTTGACAAAGGCTGTCAACTAGGCAAAGCTGCCTGCAGAAAAATTAAGGAAGGACATCATAAGGAAGGACGGGTGGCAAACAAGCACGCCTTGAGGTGCTCCAACTCACCCCTCAAGAAAACCTGAACGACCGTAGGCAACTCTCACCATTCAAGTGCGCAGTCCGACAGGACAAATGCTAATCCACCTACTAAGAAAAAGCAGTCCGGCAGCCAAGAAGACTCCGACACCTTGTAATGCACCCAATAAGGAAAAGAGGAGCCAAACTCAAAAAGAAGAAGCATCAATATCACAGCGTAATCTGGGTCTCGCAGAAGGTAAGCCCCAAGGGGCTTTCCACACCTTCCTTGGTGGAATGCGGGAAGCCAAAAACCTCCAGAAGGAGGGAACCGAAGAACCCAAGGGAACTCGGAACCGAACCTGGGGAGGAGTCGAACTCATAACAAAATCGTACAGGGAGGGGGATAGGAAAACCCCTTCCCCTGTAACAACAAGCCCTGCACCAAGGGTACCAAACACCCAAGCAGGGACCAGTGGGGCCAGGCCTCCCCAAGTCAACTCCTCCCCAGCCCCGAAATTCTCCACGTCAGGACCCGAGCCGTCCTCCAAACCCTCTGCCTTTGGAGAAAAAGCAGAGTCCACCGGAAAAGCAGGGACAAAGGGGGCCTGCTGGCGTGGCCCAAAAGCTCCGGCAGGAGGACCAGGCTCGAATGCCTCTGCCACCAATCCGGAACAGGCAATCCCCAAAGTCGCCCGAGTCTCACTACCAGTATAATTCAGCGGGGCAGCTGCGGGGCATCCGGAAAGGCAACCAACCTCGCACGTAGCTGCAACTTAAACATGCATGCAATACTAAAGCTGCCTGTACCCAAATATTAGTCTCAGTGGACTGGGTGAGTTAGAGTACAAGCAAAGAACACCACTCGCAGGACTCCAGGTCGTATGTGTCACTGACCCCAACAGGCAGCAAGGCAGACAGTGAGTGTCACCCTGAGACAGGAGGACAGAGCAACCTTCAAACTCGCACAAGGCAAGGTGGAACTCAGAGGTCTCCTACATTGGATCACTGAGCCCCAATGGGGGTTTCCAGGGCCCTTAGGCTGACTGCTAAGAGAAGCCCAGGCAAGGTACTGCTAACCAGTTATCCCAGAGTCATCAAGCAAACAATCTAAAAGCTGAACCCCTGTGACGTGTGCAAGCACTGGGACCTAATGGAGGGCCACCAAAAATCTACTAGTGGTCCTACCGCCACACCTGGCAGACCCCGCCAGGCAAAAAAAAAAAAAAAAGTCTCCAGATGAACAGAACCGGTCGCTATGCGTATATCAGACAGCTGCACAGTACCTCACACCCCAGCCAATGATGAAACTACTTCCTGCCCAAGGAATAACAGGAGTAAGAACCACCCCAGCTGAACTCCCAATGGCGGGCAATCATCGAGCAGAGACAGAACCACACAGAAGCAGCTGCTCCTGAACGGCTCAAGGAAGATAACCCTGAAGCCGCAAAGGCAGTACTTACGGGGCACCTAGGGAAGGTAGCCCTAGGTGCATGCAGCCCCAGTACTCTTGTGTTACTCCTGGCTCACACACCACCAATACAGAGTAACAACTCCGCACTGCAGCACTGCGCATAAAGTGGAGCCAGAGCGATCGATCGTTCACCATCACAACAGCCTTTGAACTAAGGAGAGTTGCCGATGTGGAGGCTTGAGACCCCCTCCATCCCATCCCCCTCCCAGGGAGGGGGGGGGGTTGCGCAGATGGATGCACAGCGGTTGTGGTGACGTCGTGTTTGTTTCATGAGTTTTTGATTGGGGAGTTCTGTTTGCTTTTTCGACTTTCGGTTTGCAATTTTTTGGCCAGCAGTAGTTTGTTTTGAAATTCCTAACTTTCTGGGTGCCTGACCTGGTAGGTGGCAGACAAAGACTGCTTCCAATTACATGGGGGTGTCTTTAGGCCATTGCTCCTCATGCCTCTCTTGAGGGGGGCCAGGTTCTGGCTCTGGTCCCTGGTAGGCTTAGAACTCCTTCGATTGACTGTTGCCATGGTCTAATATATACACATTAATCCAGTATAGCTCTGGGGAGCCAAAGGGGCTCTCCACAGAAAATCATGTCTTAAAATGGGTAAAATTTCCACATAAATAGGTGGAATATGTCTTATGAGAATGTAAAAGTATGAATATTTAAAACATTCTCAAGGTGGGGTAATTTATTATACTGGTTAACATGAAAGTCCTTTACATCTCCAGTGACTGCTCCACCTGCATGCAGTTCTTCCACAGAGCTGTTTAAAAGGACATAATGAAGAGGTAAATAGTTCAGAGTTCTGTGAGTAGTAAGTGTACATGATGACCAGCCTGGAAATATGGCACTTGTGGTGTTTATGGCCTGAGGACCTAATGTCTGGTGGCTGTAGATTTTGGTGCGTGCTCAAGAACGCGAGATTTGTGGCATCTGTGGAACATCTTGTGACATCTGTGGAACTGCTGTCTGTGGCATCTGTGGAACTGCTGTCTGTGGCATCTTGTGGCATCTATGGAACTGCTGTCTGTGATGTCTGGTGCCGCCTTAGAGTGAGGTGTCTGTGACTTGAGAGTAACAAGGACATGACGTGTGGTGCATGGTGCCTCAGGACAATGTATCTGATAAATTAAAAAATGGTTTCTGTGGTATGTGCATTCTGTAGCTTAAGGTCACACTATGTCAGGCAAGGAACACTTAAAATGATACGTAAAACAGATCATCGTCTGTTCCAAACAAGTACAATATCTGGAGCTCGATTACAGTACACCTACTAATTTTAAAATACAGCAGTTATAGGTTATAACAGCGCAGTGGCTACACCTCGCCTGCAAATATAGGCACTTGTTGGTTAGGAAACTAATAAGGGTTACATCCTTGGAAAGGCGAGTCGTTGTTCCAGTGGACCTCAGTAACCCTAACAAACTTCCTCTCTCCGACTATGGGAAACCTAATAATTGTCCTTATTAAGGATGTTAGCAAATACTTCAGTATGAAGTAACTTTTAAAATGTTCCATAAAGATATGCCTATTAATTATTCCGGTAACAGACACTTTGCAGATGCTTAAGACAGTATGGAATCGTAGCTGTAACACTTTATTGTAATCGCTCTTTAATGTACATTGGACTACATATGAATTTGGTCCAGAGTGAGCTCAGTCTTAATTCTTTTACTTGATGTCTTTGTCCAGCCATACAACAGGACACAAATACATTCTGACAATCGGCGCTATAAATTGGAGTAATTTATAAGACAGCCAGGACAGTGCGGGCCAAATGACGGGCTGATTGACTGATTGACAAATGATTGACTGCAAGGCGATGTTGCTAAACAATGAGGTTAAAAAAAGACAAGTGTCTCCCAAAGATGAGAAGCCAATGACTCTTGGTGGGCATATGCCGCCATATATATTCGTGGCCATGATCAACGTGGTCTTCAGCAGTGTGCTGTTCCTCGATTTGTTGCCTGCGGGCTCATACTACCTGAGCGCCAGCCAGTTGGACTAAGCTCTCACATGTCAAGCCTGGCCCCAAGCAGGACATCGTGAGAACTTTCAGAACCCACCAGGTACAATCACTGGCCTCACTATGCCTCTGACTAGTCGTGGTGGAGACCGGCAATAGCCACTTTGTTGCTCCTAAGAGAGTATTAGTAGTATACAGAAAGACAACACAAACTCTTGTATAAAATTGTTTAAGTGGATCTCAAATGAGACTACTGCATTCCGTCCCAAATTTGTCGTGCACTGTGACCAGTAAAAGAAGAACTTCAAGTACCATGTGGGTGAAACTTGCTTGTGCCCCGTAATAAGGCAACATGTATTTCTCCTCCATTATTCCATTCAAGACTTGCAAGTTGCCACAAATATATTTGCATTTATTTTTTAAATGCATTTTCAATGCTTTATATTTAGTTTTTTATCATATATGATGCACATTTGTGCCCTTTACAATATGTATACAATAGAACGTTCATAATGTTCCAAGGAACTGTGATACATGTGTCACTAATGTGTCCACAACAAATGTTCACTGGTGCAATATTACCTGTTCAATATTCAATATATTTACAATATGTACACTTTCACACACTATACAGTCATACACTGTATTACACACTCAGTACTTCGGAAGTAAGTGATAATCAAAGAAGCATTCTATGGTACACAGTGCAACTTAGCACTGGATGCACCAGGTACACACAGAATTTTGCTTCCTGTTTCTTTGTTCTGTGTGCTTGCAAACAACACACTCACGTACACCCTTGGCTTTAGTTCCTGTAGTTGGTATGTAGCCAAGCTTATGAAGTGTAAGGTAGTCTTGAAAATATTATAGGAAAAGATAAATTTGTAAGGTAGTTTTGAAAAGATTGCTTTGTAAGGTAGGATTGAAAAGATCCAGGTATTCTTGAAAATACCAGGTATTCTTAATCTGGGCAAAGCTCAGTAACAAAATTCAGTCCTGATATCTCATATCTGTTCTGGTATCGCCCATATCTTAACCTGTATATGGGAAAGTAGGTACAACGCCAACATCAGAATCATCAAATTGTTGTTTGTGTGTTACAAAATTATCACAGAAATTAGTCACAAAATTATCATGTGACAGACAGGACCTTCCTGCTCTATGTTCATATTGTCCTGGGTTGTGTAGTTCATTATTTTCCATAAGACTAGAAATTTGATTCCTAATCACTATTTCAAATACTTTTATTATGTGTGATGTTTTATTATGTGTGATGTTAGTGGTCTATAATTTTTTGGCAAAGCTTTACTACCCCCCCCCCCTCTTGTGCAGAAGAGCTATATCTACAGATTTAAATGCTGCTGGTATCTCCCCTGTATCCAGGCTCTTTCTCCACATTATGCTGAGTGCTACTGACATTTTACATTTCTTTATGATTATTGAATTCCATGAGTCAGGACCAGGAGCTAAATGCATGGGCATGTTGTCAATTTCTCTTTCACTGTCTTTCATCTGTAAAATGTTTAAGTCTGTCTCTTGCTATATAATTACTCCATCATTAATCTAATAATTGGTGCTGCATTTTCTTAAGAGCGAAGTTATACTTAGTCTTTAAATTATTTTTACCGTTCGCCAATTCAAAAACAAAGTTTCCTACTTTTCAGTGCACATCTAGACAGTGCTAAGTGCTACTGTTAATTAAAACAGGGGATATGCTGCTAATGTTAGATTGTTTTTAAATATGATCTTGCTAGTGCAATGTTGTGCAAAAAAAAGTTGAAAAGTTAGATTATAATTTCCCCGGTGAAATTATTATTATGTTGTTATTTTCATGTTGTTCGTTATAGGAAGGAATGATTTAATGATTTTCATTAGCGCTTTGACACTTGTCTAAGCCAAGTAATTGTTAAATCTTGCCCGAAGAGAATTTATAGATGTTTAAATTGGCACACATTACTGAGCTTTGCATAGTTCACTTAAACAATCACACAATACTAATTAGATCCGACTCCAATAACACTTAGCTCACTCAGTGCTGCATTTTTTTTGTAACTCTTCCTTGAATATGGGGTATTTAATTAGGATAATTCATATTAAATGAAGCCCAAAAGACAAATAATAAAAGTCATACAAATTTTAAAGATTATTTAGGGAGTAACTTTTGAATAGAACATTCATGAATCAGTGAGAAGTTGGATAACGCTGAGAATGAGAGAGAATTGGAACAAACTGCAAAGATGGTTTTTGAAAACTTACCTATTCCCTTTTGCTGCAACATTTCCAATAACTTTTTTATACTCTCATCTCTTGCTGCTAATGTTTGTTTCTGTGTCTCTATTCTCAGCTCCAGTTCCTGTAAATAGGAAAGTCATTAGTGAGACACTTAAATAATGAGAATAAGAGATAATACTGATGGGTAGATTGGTCCAAGATGGATTATGAGACACACACACACCGAACAGATGTGAGGAAAAAGGCTAACATAGATCCAATCTACAAAAGTGGCAGCAGGAGAGACCCAATTATAGACCGGTATCATTGACAAGTGTAATAGTCAAAATATTGGAAAAAATAATTAAAATTAAATTGGTAGAACACCTGGAGAAAAACGATAGAATATCAGACCGACAGTATGGTTTTTGACCTGGAAGATCCTGCGTAATGAATTTACTCAGTTTCTATGATCGAGGCACAGAGATTTTACAGGAAAGAGATGGTTGGGTTGAGTGCATCTATCTGGACCTAAAAAAGGCTTTCGACAGAGTTCCACATAAGAGATTGTTCTGGAAACTGGAACACATTGGAGGGGTGACAGGTAAGCTTCTAACAAGGATGAAAAATTTTCTGACTGATAGAAAAATGAGGGCAGTAATAAAAGGAAGCGTATCGGACTGGAGAAATGTCACAAGCGGAGTACCACAGGGTTCAGTTCTTGCACCGGTAATGTTCATTGTCTACATAAACGATCTAACAGATGGAATACAGAATTATTTGAACATGTTTCTTGAGGTTATCTTGAGATGATTTCGGGGCTTTAGTGTCCCCGCGGCCCGGTCCTCGACCAGGCCTCCACCCCCAGGAAGCAGCCCGTGACAGCTGACTAACACCCAGGTACCTATTTACTGCTAGGTAACAGGGGCATAGGGTGAAAGAAACTCTGCCCATTGTTTCTCGCCTGGGATCAAACCCAGGACCACAGGATCACAAGTCCAGAGTGCTGTCCGCTCGGTCGACCAGCTCCCACGGTCGGCTAATGTTTGCTAATGATGCTAAGATAATAGGGAAGATAAGAAACTTAGATGATTGTCATGCCCTTCAAGAAGACCTGGACAAAATACTGTAAGTACATGGAGCACCATTTGGCAAATGGAATTTAATGTAAATAAATGCCATGTTATGGAATGTGGAATAGGAGAAAATAGACCCCACACAACCTATAAATTATGTGAGAAATCTTTAAAAAAAAGTGTGATAAAGAAGTGTGATAAAGATCTAGGGGTAGTTCTAGATAGAAAACTATCACCGGAGGATCACATTAAGAACATTGTGCAAAGGGCCTATGCTACACTTTCTAACCTCAGAATTGCTTTTAAATACATAGATGGCGAAATACTAAAGAAATTGTTCATGACTTTTTATAGACTAAAGCTGGAATATACAGCGGTTGTTTGGTGCCTATATCTTAAGAAGCACATCAACATACTGGAAAAGGTGCAAAGACATGCTACTAAGTGGCTCCCAGAACTGAAGGGCAAGAGCAACAAAGAGAGGTTAGAGGGATTAAATACTGTATGACAAAACTAGAAGACAGAAGAAAAAGGGGTGATATGATCACTACATATAAAATAGTAACAGGAGTTGATAAAATTGCTAGGGAAGATTTCCTGAGACCTGGAACTTCAAGAACAAGAGGTCATAGATTTAAACTAACTAAACACAGATGTTGAAGAAATATAAGAAAATTCACTTTCGCAAAAACAGTGGTAGACGGTTGGAACAAGTTAGGCGAGAAAATGGTGGAGGCCAAGACCGTCAGTAGTTTCAAAGCATTATATGACAAAGAGTGCTGGGAAGACGGGACACCACAAGCATAGCTCTCATCCTGTAACTACACTGAGGTAATTACACATGCGCAGTTAGGCATTTGGGATCATTATCATAGTGTCTGCAAAAAGCACCAGAAATCTAGGGTTTGTGAGGTGCAGTTAGAGCCATCCATAGTGATTAATATTGCAAAGTGTACTGCAATGCGTAGAAATGTATACTACAGCGATTGACACTTAATTTGACAAAGACAGGAAAAAACCCAGTGTTGAATGTAATGAAACGCCATTTTCTGGGTGAGTCTCGGAGACTCCCCGGAGCTTACCAGGCTGATATGGTAATGTCAAACTTTGGCATCAGTCATGTGTACGGAACTCTTATGGGCCTACCGGGGACCATGAGCCAGAACCTGGCGCCCTCAGAGAGGCAAGGGGAGCAATGGCCTATAGAAACCCCTGTGTGGTTGGAGGCATTCTATGTCTGCCATCGACCGGGTTAGGCACCCAGAAAGGTAGGCGTCCCAAAACAAACCCCTATTCTGGTGAAAATTGCAACCAAAAGCCGAACGAGTGGATAGAACTCGCCAAACAAAAACGAGCAAACTAGTATGACGTCATTCGTCGTCGCGCCGCTGTCTGCGCAGCCCCCCCCCTCCCCGGGAGGGGGAAGGGGGAGCCCCAGACCTACCGCGCCAGTGATCCACACCCCAGTTCTGAGGGTGGATGTCAAAAGCACGCTAAAAAAACTGCCGACCAGAGGGAGGGAGGGATGCTGGGGAGCCTCCGGGACTCGCCCAAAAAATGGCATTTCATTACATTCAACGCTGGTTTTCTGGGGGAAGCCCCTATGGCTCCCCGGAACTAACTACCCACAGAGGAAAAGAATAGGGACCGACCCGGGAGGCGGTCGCCGCACACTACTCAACCCAAGGTCGAAACAACAGGCTGCATCTGCTGACCCAAAGCAACACAGGGCCGACGGGGCCCAGGAACGTGTACAAGGTAACGAACAGCCAAGGATCCTGTTCGACCTCCAAAGTCCCCGTGCCCGAATGTCCTCCCAGGACACAGTACCAAAGATGGCAGCAAGAGCCGCGAACTTGCAGATGTCATGGTCATGGAGATAGACCGCAGGCTGAAGAGCCTGAAGAACCCTGCAAATGACCTGGAAGACCTGCACCCACTAACAGGGAAGAAGGGAACCGAAGCAACCCAAATCACGTCCATGGACCCAGAAGCCGTGGTGTGCCAACCACGGCGGAGAGCCGCAACTAGACAAAATCAAATGCACCCCCGGCCTAACCAAGCATCAATAACCCAGGGACCCCTCTGGAAAGAAACAGTCTCATCCATCGCCAGAAAAGAAGAAGGCAGCAGACGACCAAACCGAACATCTCAACCGAAGGAGCAGAAAACCCCTGGGCAGGAGGAGAGCAAGAAGCTCACCTACCCGACCCCCAGAGGCCAATGCCAACCGGGAAAGAGCCATCGAAAAACAAACCGGAACCGAAGGGGCCACAAGAAAATGAGAAGAAAGAAAAAAATACTCTGTCCAATGACCAGGACGGCTCAAGCGGTACACGAACCGGCCGGAGGTGAAACAAGCACGAGACAGCTTACGAACAGCGCAAATGAAAATCTGGAAGCAAGCCGAAGCGGCTCCGCCAGCGCCATATAAAACGAGGCAACAGTATGCGGCAAGTCGGCGGCCCCCAACCCCCAGCAGAAAAGCCAAGCCGACGCCAATAAACGCAGCCACCGAAGAAAGTACAGAAGGAAAAGGAAGGACTGCCAAAACACCCCATACTGCCGCCAAGAAGCACACAGGTGGGACACCAACAACGAAGCCACCCGACCACCAACAGACGCGAGATCCCCGAGGCAGAACGTAATCAGCGCTGCCAAGGGTCATCCGAGCCTAGGAAGAGGCGAAGCCGCAGGAAGATCCCGGGAAAGCCACCAAGGAAGCAGAGCCGGAAGCCCAAGCCGGCAAGAAGGAGATGGAACGTCTGCCAAACAGGAAACTCCCCAACACGAGCAAGCTCGCCAGGGGATCGGAAACCACGGGTCCGAAGCGAGACACCAGAGAAGGGACATCGCAAGACCCTGAAAAAACCAACAGGCAGGGCAAGCCAGGAAAACAGGAAACAAACCTGGCAACAGGAAGGCCAAAAGGCATAAACAAAACACACAACAGTGTGATGGAGGAAATGATAATAAGCCTAGCAGAAACGCCCCAGCACCAGCGGCCAGGGACAAGAGTGAAGTAGGAAGACGAGAGGAATGCATGAGGAAGGGAAATGGCGGAAGCCAACCCCACACCCAGCGTCCAGTGCAGAGAAGAGCCCAGTAGGTTCCGGGACTGGAACAGAAAGCGAATGATAGGCGAGGGGCGAGACGAAGAGCCCAAGCTCATCCGCAGCCAGCACAACTAGGTGAGGACAACGAGGTTAGGACAGAGAATCCGAGGAACATGGAAAAAACCAGGCCTGGCACAGCAAGACTGGCAAGAAAGGAGGGCCCCAGAAAATCAAGGGAACAAAAAACCCAAACAAGGAAGGCGCCAGAAGGAGCATGGAAGGGCCGAACAAAACGCCACAACCGTACCCCCACACGCAGCCGCAGTATCAAAACCGCAGCAAAACGTCACCACACTCACACAAGTGAGAAGGTGGTGGAGGCCAAAACCGTCAGTAATTTCAAAGCATTATATGACAAAGAGTGCTGGGGAGACGGGACACCACGAGCGTAGCTCTCAACCTGTAACTACACCTAGGTAATTACACGTAGGTAATTACACTCCCAGAGGAAGTGACAGGGAAGATAAAGAGAAACTGTAACACGAGTGGCACACAAGAGGACACAGGCGGAAACCGTGTACCCAACCGAGCCACAGGGACGTTAGAAGAAATGTGTGCAGTGTAACAATCAACCGATGGAACACATTAGGCAGCCCACACCTGGGCTGACCCCATACACAGCCCCAAGTGTAGAGACGAGAAAGCCCAGGAGGCACAGAATCCGCACGTAAGGCAAACGACAGGCGAGAGGCGGAACCAAAGAGCCAGAGCCCAACCCCGCAACCACAATTAGGCGAGCACAGAACACCCTCGACACAGGGAAACGTACCACCGAACAGGCACCTCCACCGTTGCACCTTGGAACAAGGTGGAGGCGGGGCCCCGAACTCAAGCATGGTTAGACAAGCATAGGAGAGGGGCAGCCAGAATGAGTTCAGGCAGGAGCTGCTTCGTATGGGCCAAGAGGCCTCCTGCAGTCACCTGTGATCCGAGGAAGGAATCGGGTGGTG